ATTTTCTTAAACATAAATGGTACTAAAACAATTTTATGTAGAAATTTAATTTTAAAAAAATCTCTTGAGACTTTACTGCTACTATCATATTTTGCTAGATTAAATTGTCATTTTTCTATTTTAAAAGAATTTATTACTCATTCTCCCTTTTTTCTCTTCTCATGTTTTCAACATCCTTCCTTCAAAATTTTTCCAACAAATTGTACGAGAATAGAAAACATATAATTTTATAATTTAGTATATTATTCATTTCATTTATAATAGAAAACATTTATCTTTTTATTGTGTTGAGTTGGATAAGAAAAATAAAGCTAACTAGAAACATAAGGCATGTAAAAATAGATTCTAGCTTATTTTAATAAAAATCATAATTTTATACTTTAGTATATAATTGATATTTTAGATCTTGCTTGGTATGAAATAATGGACTGCGAAGGGATGGGAATGAATGAAAGAATGGCCATCTTGGATGCTTGGCGCATGGAAGAGCTCATTTGTAGTGATTTTCAATCCATCGGCAAGCCAGAGAAATGCCCCTCCACTTTTTAGAATAAAAATTTCTTGCCAGTGTATTGCAATAATTCACAAATTCCCATCTTGCCCATAATCGTCCACGTTAGTGCTCCACCAAAGCTACTTGAACTCCCCGTTGTTACGAGTTTGTCGTCGCTTCGTCAAATCTGCTCGTCCGTTCCCCTATTGCTCTCACTTGTCATCGCGTCCATGAATCTACTTGTTGTCGAATTTGCTCGTGTCACGTCTCCCTTGTCGCCGGGTCTCCCTAGCCGTTGCCTCCCTCAACTGTTGATGTTTCGCCAAACCATTGGATCACACCACCCCTCATTCGCATAGTGTTGGACCCTCTTCTTCCTTTTCAAATGATAAGACCAAGGGCATTATAATATTTTGTCATTATAATTACATATATTAAATAAAAAAATACACCACCATTATAATTAATAGTTTTTGGGCTCAATTTTAAACAAAAATTAAACCGAATTAAATTAATCAGTTCAACTAAACTTCATACATATTTGATTTTTTATTTGATCGGTTTGGTTTTCTAGGCAATTTGATTCTATTTAGTTCAAAGTTGGATCAAGTTTAAAAGGTTTAAATTTATTTTTTTGTTGATAATTTTTAATTATTAATTAGCACTGTTGATTAAAAAAACTCTTGAGCACAAGTGAGAAAAAGTATTTCTAGTATTTTTTTTTTTTTACCATAGTAGAATCATCAGCATGTTTTTAAAATTCATTCTCATTTCCATTCTTTTTTTTGTTCTCATTGTATCAAAAATCATTTTATTGTACCACGTGGGAGCTTACAACATTTTATCTATGCTATACAAGAAGGAACTTGAACACTTGCATCAAGAGATGGTGCTAGTTACTATCCACACGCTAGCACTGACAAGGTGCTGGATTGGCATATATGACATGTGAGTTATAGATTTGTTCATTAATCAAATGTTCATATAACAGATCCAAAACGATGACATCAAACAAATCAATCATGAACATCTACAAATAGCCATAATATAATGAAGGCGCGATATAACATGTAGAAAAATAAGGTAGAGAGGACACTTAATTTGTTGTTGTAATGTTTTGAGTTATTTATAATATTTTAGTTTCAATTAAAAAAAAAGATAGGGGAGACCGACGCAGAATAAGAAAGGGGAGCTAATCAAGATCACTGCTTTATGCTGTGAATCTGAGTTGGCAAGTTGCATGAGTTGGACTCAATAATTTATAGCTTCCGCGGGTTCCCACCTTTAAACTGAACTTGTTGCAAAATAACCTGCACGGTTTTTGTCTGGGCGTCGATTTTTCCGCTGTTCATGCTTTTTTGGATTTCATTGCAGATTAGAGCAGTCTTTATGGTCTTTACATGGATTTTTTCACAAAGATACTACAAACAGTAAAAGAAAATACCAAAATGCTCTATCATGGAAATTATTTTTCAAAATATTACATCTAAAACCGTTCTTGCATTGAATGATTTATAAAGTTGATGACACCATGAACGATTTCTTCAATATAGATAGTACCGAGTGTAATAAAACTTGTTCTTGATAGGAATGATTTCTAAATATCATTAGCTCCTATAGACTAAATTGAATGATTTGGTTGGTAATTTAGTAATCATTTAAATGAAAATGATGAGTAAACAATTGTGATTAATAGGATTAAGGAATTATTATAGGATGTATTAAATTTAAAACTATTAATAATGAATAAATGATTATTATGTTTATGATAATTAATAATAAATGATTAAGTTATATGTATGAAAAGTAAAAAATAATTTATCTCATAAATAGTGACTCATAGTGCCGCATCTTGTTCTCCTTTTTATACATTGTAGTTGTTGTTGTTGTTGTTGTTGTTCCCTTGATAGCCCACCATGTTCAGAAGTAGAAGTGTTGTATTCCGTCAAAAATAATGTGAGATTATTAAGTAAAGATGTGAATGATTCAAATTGAGCATAAGTGGGTGAATTGAAAAGAGATGATAATGGTGGTAGCATGTAATGGGACTCGAATTGAGTATAATTGAGAGAAGTGAAAAAGAGTGATGATAATGATGAGGATGTAATGAGATTGATTAAAATTTTGAGGCTCTTGTTTTCCTGCATTTTCATCTTCAATTGGGGGTTGGGTAAATAAGTAACTATCATGTTGCTTGCCCGATCTATCTCAAGAAATTTGTAGACGAGACAACTCGACTTTTAGTGGAGCAGGCTAAGGGTCCCTATTAAATTATTGTTCTCCATTGCAAGTAACATGTTATGTTGGTTTCAAGCAACTCTATCTTAATAATTAATGCAATAAGAACATTCTGAATGAGAATTAATCGTTAGAGTGCGTAACTCCTTTGTTATGTTAGTCTAAAATAAACAATAAGATATTAGATTAGAACACTTTTTTATAAAGAAAAAAGATGGTACTAGTGAAAGAATGTGAAAAACGAACTTACCGCATGCCCATTATCACTATTAATGCATTGGATCCATCATCAGATATGTCTCTAATACTATTGCCTGTATTCAGATACTCTTTCAAACTCATCAAATGTTGGAGGAGCATTAATAATAGTAAGTGATTATCTATCCCATACTTTAATGAATCACATGGAAAAAGCAAAGTAAAAAGAGAAAGCAGAGATTCTCGCAATTGACTTTCATTGAATAAAAAATTAATTTCGTGACTAAAAAATTATTCCTAGCCTAAATGAATTCTTCATAACCACAAACTCATTTCCAGTCTAAATGATTTTTGATGTAGTATTTTGATAAATACTTTTCACAATGCAACATTATGATAATTTCTTTTACTATTTATAGTAGATTAGTAAAAAAGCCTCTTTACATGTATTGACACAAGCTGCCTGTATACTAATTAAAATAGTATAGAAGAACACAAAATTCATTAATTATTAATATTGACTATACAAGTTAAATATTGTTATGAGCAACATTTTTTGGCCACATTGTTTACAAAATGTAATGATTTAAAATTTTATTAAAAATGATTTTTTTATTAATATAACGCTTGAACTATATGAAAAATGCAAGAAATGAATGGAAAAGAAGTAAAACAGTAAGGAATAGGTATTGGAAAAAAAGAAAAAAAAGTCAGATGTATTTTTAACATTATGTGCCTAAAATATTTAGTGAAATGAAGTTTGTAAGGTGTTGGTGGATATAAATGATACAGTGGATAGAGCTAGTAATATCAGTCAACCTATAACTTATGAGTTGGCTCACAATGAATTGTAGGTTTGGCGGGATGAGTTGGCATGACTCACATTTTTTGTTGGTTGAACTTTGCCAACCCACACAACCAGTAGCGGGTGGGGTTGGTAAGTTAGCAAACTAACTCGCAAGTAAAAAAAATATTTTTATAATTTTTATTATTTGTCACAATAAAAAAGTTCATATATTCCCCCTAAAAATTAATTATCCAAATAATAATAAAAGTCTTTCTAATTAAGACATGCTTATATCACCACTTAAGCATAAATTCATTTAATTTTGTGATCCTCTCATTCTCTAGTCTTTTACACGACTAATTAATATTATACATATATGAATTAATAAAAATGTTTTGTCTATCCTCTTTTCTCTTTATCCTGCTTTGGCATTTTTGCTACAGAATTCATGTCTCAATTTAAAATACCAATTCTTTTATTAAAAAAGAAAATAATGATGATTTAAACTCTGACTATTAGATTACTACTCATAATACATTCAGTTTATATTACCTAAACATTTTAATATCTTTGTATCTATTTTTTTATTTTATGTTCAAATTAAAATGATAATATAATATATAGTTAGCACTTCATAAATATGTTTAATTTTTTAAACAAAAAGGGCAAATAAACTTTTCTTATTTGCTAGCTTCGGTAGCATTATTTTGCAAACAATATAATTTAAATAAGTTATTACATGAATGAAGTAAAGTATAATAAAATATGTTATTCAATCTTATCTTGATTACATTCAGACTATATTATATCACTATTTAAATATATGAGCAGTGTGTTTTTAAATATAAGCGGGCTAACCCATCAACCCGCGGGTTAGCCCGCTACGGGTTCAAGTTATATGGTGTGGGCTAAGATCGCCCTGCATATAATTAAACCCATTTTCTTTAATCTAACCTGCAATTTTTTTGTGAGTTAGCGAGTTGAGCTCGCAGGCCCAACTCAAACACATAGCATGATCTTTATTGTTGTCTGGCCCCATAACCCCAAGCTCGCTAGCTTAATCCAGGACATTTAGCATTTGAAGGGCATAGTTAATGTTTTGAAACTTGGACCTGACGTTGAATCAAAAAAAGTAACGAGCTGACATTTTCATGGTTCAACTAGTTAGACCAATGGTCAAACCAGTGATATAAAAATTAAATAAAAATAATATTTGTATACATAAATATATAAAGAAAACAATAATTTATTGATGGTGCTTGGAATTTCGACATCAAAGACTAGATGCCTAGACCACTGGAGTTGGAGGCAAAGGCATGTTGGCCCAAGCTTGCGGTCTCAAAGCAAAACGTTGGAGCTGGAGGTACGCTATCATGTCACGACTTATAAGCTTTTGATTTTGATGCCAAAGGTTGGATCGCTAGAGCTGGAAGTAAAGGCTAGAGGAGAGGTCAAAGATTAAGCTTGGGTTATAGAGGAGAGATAAAAAAAATGAGATAAGAGAAGATATGAGATAACTAAATATTAGAAAAGAAACCTAAATTTCTTATTTTTTTCTTTTGGCTTTGATTCAAGTTGACTTGCTCTGATTTTAGGGTCAAATATGATTCTCTCAAAATGGGCCGAGTCAACCTACGTCAATCTAGTTCAATTGCTAAATTGGTCCAACTGATTGAACCGGCCATTTTGTTCAGCTGTCGAATCGATCAAACTGCCCTATCCACTTTGATTTTCTAAACACTAGGGAGGGCATTAATTAAATTGAGGAGAAGAATGAAGATGTAAAAATAGAAAGGTGGTGGAATAATGCAATGAAAAGAGAAGTGCTTGTTGAGATAGGCAACAGATGACTGTTATCTTGCTCCCCTACTCACTTGATGGCAGTCACACCTTTAAAGCATGACATCTCCCCGCACCTAACCCCGGTGTCTAAATTCATACTCATCACTCCTGCCAATAATGGAATTCATTTCTATCAAAAATACCCTTAACTCCTTTCTCTTTCATCTTTTAAAGTTTATACATTACCCAAATGAATGGAAGGCTGATGTTCAATAAAACACGTGTCACTGCCCGCTTTAGTTATGACCAGGGTACTCGTAATATATTGCATGCCATTTGAAGGATTAAGAAATTGTAGTTAATTTAGTCTTGTAACAATTCAACACATCTAATTATGAGAACATGATCACAAATGTTACTATTTTTAAAATAATAATAATAATAATGAAGTTTACATTGTTTTCAGTAATAGGAATAAAGAAAATCCTACACCATAAAAAAAGTGCACATAAAACATCATTTAATATAAATGGAAAAAAAAGAAACAAAAGACTTTTGGACTACATCGAGCTCGATCTGTGTTTCAGTCCTTTCGAGCCCAAACACGAAAGCTCTTTTCTAATATATATATATATATATTTTCACAATTTCCCAAACCCAATCCTATAAAAATATAGGGGAAAACAGCCGGCTCAAATTATAGCACTGAGCCAAAAACAATTCCTAGCATGTCAACCGAAGCCGTGGGCCAACACTGTAAGGACAATACGGTCATTGCACGACCTAGCCCAGCCTCGCCAACCAGCCAGCCGATGTGTGGGTGAAGTATGGGGGACATGAATGGCAAGTTCATGTGTTCTTCTCTGCAAGTTAGTCTATCTGACATTGAACGGAGCCGTATGTGTGAGAAAGAGTAGGTGGCACTCCAAGTGGGATGCCTCTAGCAGTTTCAAAAGTCTAAATTCCATCATAGAATTTCTCAGATAGGCACTCTCTGCTTTATAAAATCCACTTTATAATATCATTTACCCGGGGGGTGCTCCTTGAGCTGTTAGCCTCGTACGAACGGCGTTGATGCTTTTGGCTGTTTAGATTAGTAACAACTCCCAAAAAGCCTTCATTGCCAAAAATTTATAGGCCGTTCATTTGGGCAGCTGGGCATAGTGAACTGTGATAATGGTTTTTCTGGAGTTTGGTGTGTGATTCTTTTAATTCATCTTTTTGCTGGTTCGTGTGAAAGTGATGGGTCTTCTATCTTAGTCTTCTTGATTAGTTAGATGTGACCTATCTAATCCGAAGGAATTTAGAAATATGTGTGGTTAGGGTTTACATGTAGAACAAGCTAAAACCATTTACTTGATACCTGATTCATGCAGTATGGCTAGCAGGAAAAGTGGGCTCTTTTTCTTTATTTAAGGGCGACTTTATTAAAGGAGATAAGTGTTTCTAGACAGTATCTGTTAGATTTTAGGGTTCAACTCCATAGATCTGAACCTGACAGAGAAGGAATCAAGAGGTAGAGATCAAAAAAGATTTTGATACATATCTATCTAGTCTTTTCACTGTATTTATACTTCTTGTACTGGGTTTCATCGTCTTTTAGTTCATCAAAACATCTCGAATAGAGGAAGTAATATTTCTCACTCTAAAAAACATGGCATATCGATGGTGAGCTAGAAATATCGTGATGAGACTCACCAACCCCATGTCATCTTCTTTGTCACTCCAGCTCAAAAGCCCAGAAGATGAGCTCGACGGATTAAATCATCTCGGGCCTAGACGAGAACAAGAATCCATGGACGTCAACACTGACACCAATAACAACAACACCTTAACTAATAGCAGCAACGGCAACACAAACCCAAACATCCAAAACACCACAGACAACGATAGCCGCGAACCCAATGACCTAAACCTAACAAGCCATGAAACATTTGAACTCGACAGCAGTGGCCATTGACCAAGGGGTTGCCTACTGGGGTCCAAAAACAAGCTGAAGCCACCTGTCATTGTAACCAAAGAAAACCCAAACGTGCTTCAAAGCCATGTGTTGGAAATTGAAAGTGGCAGTGACATTGTTAAGAGCATAGCCACCTTCGCGAACCGCCGATGTCAAGGGGTATCAGTACTTAGTGGAAGCGGCGTTATGAGCAACATCACACTCCGACAACCGATGGCACTTGGCGAGGTAATTACACTGAATGAAAGGTTCAAGATATTGTCCCTCTCTAGGGCATTCTTACTGGTGCCTTCACTGCCAGGAGCCACTGGGCTAACTGTGTATTTAGCCGACAAACAAGGGCAGGTAGTTGGGGGTACAATGGTAGGTTCTCTGGAGGCTTCGGGGCCCATGATGGTGATCGCGGTAACATTTGGCAATGCCACTTACAAGAGGCTACTATTGAAGGAAGAGGCGGGTGGTGAGGAAACGCAGGCGACGCAAACAGGAGTCAATGCAAGAAGTACATGAACTTTGGTAGGTGAACAAGTTTCAATGTCGCCCTTATACAATTTTCTATCGAATGGTCAAATGCTCCACAACCTGTTTTATGATTCCCTGCCTCATCCTTCGCCCCCATATTACTGACTACCGAGCAACGATCTTTCTCTTCATTTGCTTACGAACTTGCTAATCAGTTTCCTAGCAGGCAAGGTTAGGGTGCTTTGTCTTGATTTTGTTAATAGGATTATTAGCCACTAGTACTTGTTTGTTTGTATTTGCATTTATAGGGATTTATGTGAAGTATGCTGAGTTTGACTTTATGAATTTGATTGGTGAGTTGACAGAGTAGTAATGAAATAATGAGAGATGATGAATTTGGACTGTAGCGAATTGATTGTATAAACCGAAGCCTGGTAGGGTCGATTCATCTCCCCTTGCCCGAATTAGGTTGATTAGATTGCATTCCACCGCGTTACCTTTGAATTCTATGTAGGCCAGGCTAGCAACATTTATAGCTGAAATAGGATTCAATAGTTATGTGGCGAGAGAAGGGGAATGATGCACTGTGTCTGTCGTACTGCTTCTTTCAATCAGTTTTGATTGCAACTGCCAACTGGCAAGTAATTTCTTACTTGTTAACTCATTTTTGGCATTTAGGGAGAAGGCAAATCAAATTAAAGTGGGAGGAATTAATTTTTTCTGTTGCCCCTCGTTGTAATTTTCTTCCTCCGGAGCATGCATCTTATAAAATCTAGCTGTGCATAGAGCAATAAAATCAATAATGTGTTCTGAAATATAGTACTGATATTCCAAGTGAATAAATTTAGTTAGAGACCATGACTGAACGGGTTAGTTTCTAGTAAGAATTTATATACACAAGTTATTTTTGTGAAACAGCTACTTGCAATACTTAATTTGTTGTTCAGTGGGTGCGTGTGGGTTAATTTTAAATGTTTAGGAAAGTGATGTATAGCTAAGAACATCAGAGCAATGTTACCAAGATTTAGAAGGCAGCGGAGATGGCAAATATACAGGTCGAGTGAAAAATTATCCTTAATTTTTTGTTATTTGTGAGGAAGGACAACTGTTTAGTGTTGAGGAGGATGTTGACGAGTAGGAAAACAATCTCTTAATAATAAGCAGTTATGTGGGGCTAATTAGGGGTGTTTACAGGATGGGAACGAGACACCCCCATCCCGTCCCAAAAAAAGATCAAGACTAAATTTTGGTCCTGTATTCCATCCCGTCTCGAAAGTCATCCCATCCCATTAGGAGTCGGGACGGGACTAGAATAAGATCGGGACATCTCACTGCCTCGATAAATGGGATAATATCAAAGAAAGATCTGGATAATAATGTTCATTAAAATTTTAAATCATATAATTTATTAAATTTAAAATCAATATAACACAAGTACATAAATCACAACAATTTAAAGTCAATTATTGAATTATATTAATCATTACTACATATTATAATAGCAAATACAAGTGATCTTTATGCTATAAGACCCTGTTTGGTACATGGGACTGAAAGCTAGGGATTAGGATTGGGATTAAGAAAACCCAACTTTTTATGTTTGGTATGAATCATTGAGCAATCTGAACCCAATCCCACCTTACATGGGATTATTTAGTACCACCCACCCCCTGAGTTTGCAAATCCATTCTTGGGACTAGAAATATCTGGACCAAATTACCCTCACCCATCTCTCTCTCTCTCTTGTCTCTTCCCTTCGTGCAACCTGATCTATTCGCTCCAATCTGTATGCTCTGTCCAGCTGCCATGAAATCCTCTTCTCAAGCTCTAATCTATGTGCTACCTCAATGCTCTGATCTATTCTAAGGAGGCGAAGCAGGAAATTGTAGGGGAGGAAGAGACGCAGGTGAAGCAGAAAAAATCAAAGTCAGAGGAACGCAGAACATCGACGAAGAAGGAGATGGAGGAAGAGGAAATATTGGAGTCAGAGATGTTGTCAACTTCTTCCAGATCTATCGCGATCGAACTTGAAACTGAAGGTGCGTTGCCATGGTGATCTATCACGTCCGACTTCTTCTAGACCTCACCTCAATGAGCTAGGTTAATTTTTTTTAAAGTATAAGGGGTATTATAGTCTATTCATAATTTATACTTAATTATAAAATAAAATAAAAGTAAGCATTTCCTACATGTATTACTCCATATCAAACATAATTTTAAAGTTCCATTCCCACTTTCACTCCCACTACCAATACTAACACCAGTCCTAATCCCAATTCTTCTAAATTGAAACATATGTACCAAACAGGGCTTAAGGGTAGCAACCACAGGCAAGTCAAGCACAACATCAAATCATCGTTCTTCTACTTTAGTGGAGATGTACTAAGCTAATTACTCTTCTGAAAATAAAGCAAGAAATACATTGTAAATAAAAGTTATTAAATAGATAGATATAAAAATCAATTATATTAATATAATTAATAAATTATAAAGAAAGATATTGCCATGTTTAATACATGTCATTAAAATTATCAATTAAAAAAACTTTAGTTTTAAATAAGAATTGCAAGTATTGAAATTATAATTGATATAATTAATATAAGTATGAATTATATTAATATAATTAATATATTTTAAAATAAAAAATAATATATATAATATTCGGGACAGGACGGGACGTTCCGATGGTAATCTTGTGTCTCGTCCCGTTCCGAACTCCTTTCCTGTCCCATCTCATAAAGTCCCATCTTGATTATTTTCAGGTCGGGACAAAACTTGTCCCGATATGATCGGAATGATACCGAGTCAATCGAGATGGGTCCAAGCTAAATACCCGTAGGGCTAATTAATGAATGAGCCAATGAGGTAATGGTGTGTGATTTACTGAACGGACTTGGTTTGTGTGATGCACAAGCAAAGTATACACTTCTTTGATTTGATTTCATATGTAAGTCATATTGTAAAAAATTTATTTGGTTTCATTTACAAGTTATGATAAAAATTTTTAAATAATATTTAAAAAGTATTTTTAAAATTATTTTTTATGAGAAAAAAATAATATGAGATAACTTTTTAGATTTATTATATAAGAATATATTTAAAATCTTATCTACTTTTATTTTTTATATTTTTTTTATATTATTAACGAGTTAGCAGAAATGATTTGTAAAGAAGAGTGAAGGAATAGATCAAAGAATTGGGTCATATGGATGGATCGGAGGTTGGTTGCACGTCAGCCGAGGGATGGATCGATTAGTACGAGTCACCAAATCTCGCTCCCAATGCTCATGCTTGAGATATTATTTTGACACTCACCAAACGAGTTTCCCAAAAGAGGACTGGATAAAGAAATTATTGTCTTGGCATTTTTCTTTTAAGAAATTGTTGCTTCTTTCAATTTTTTTTAATGTAAACTCCTTTCCTTTGAGTTGTGGAAAGGAGTTTTCTGCCAGGAAATAAAAATTTGTTACCAATTAACTCTACTCTGAATTATGGTACATTCAGATTACTTTGCGCGCGCCTTTATATTGACGAAGCAGTGATAGTGATTTAAATCTTTTAAAAAATTTAAAATATTCTACTTTTATGAAGTATATGAGACCAATAAGAGTCCGCATTCGATTGATAAAAAGTAACTTCACACTATAATTTTTCTGTTATTTTTTATTTTATTATAATATTTTGATGTCTTCGTGTATAATGTTTTTGGCAAAAATATTGATTTATAATTAAAATTAATTTATACTCCCTCCATTTAAAAATATATGGCATTTTTTTAAGAGTTAAATATTAAAAAATGTAACGTATTTTTAATCTTTTGAAATATAATTATTATCTTTTTTCAAAAATGCTCCTATTGATTAATAACTTCATATTTATTGTAGGTTATTTAATAAGGGTAAATATAAAAAGATAGAGTTAGTTTGAAAGTAAGTAACTATTTTATTAAGGGGTGATATTCGGTTAAAATGTCTTATATTTTTAAACAAAGAGAGTGCAAGTTTTGCATATAATTTTACATTTTAATTTTTAATTCATAGCTCTTCTTCCTTTATGTAATCGCACAATTCAGAGCGAACTTATGGCAGCGATGTGATTTGTTTCTTTTGAATAGAGAGTGAAGGAGACTCTTGAAGCCTGATCTGCTTACACAATTCAAAAGCATCTTTAAGCTTACATAGGTGACTGCCTGAAGATCAACAAACAACAAACTGCCATCCTCAGTTTTTCCTTTTTTGGCATACTGATCAACATCACCACATGCATGGACCTTGGTACTTATAAGTTTATAATTGACGACTTCATTTAGAAACACGTCTTGCTCAGGCCCGAGTGAATGTTCTTCCATTAATCTCTGCTCATCATTCATCTCTCTCTGGATCCGGCCGGTGGTATCATGCTGCCAGGAGAAGTCCCTCCCCATGTTCGAGTTCGTTGTTGCTAGAGAACTTTCTGTTGGAATATTATTTATGAATTAGCATTAATTAATAAGCCCAATAAATTGGTCCTTATGATCTTGTGTGGACCGTGATAGGTGGACCACACAAGTGAGCCCAATGGGCAGAGGCCCAACCCACAACCCAGTAGCCGTCAGTTATTTCCTATCTCTTAACTGACTGAGTCAGAGATAATAGATAATATAATTATTTAATTATATTAATAAGGCGGTTACCGATCTGATCTATATAAGACGATTAGTCGGTAACCACAAACACACGACTCATTTTCTTCTACTTCTATTATCTCTGAACTCTCTGAAGGCTCTGGGGACTTGAGGGTTGTGTACCTGCCCATACTCGAGGTAATCAAGATTTCTCTAGCACTTATGGATTCTTCAGGTACGCATGAATTACTTTATTCTATCATATTTTATTATACATATGAATTGAGATATTCAGATTCAACACGTGGCATCAGAGCCTTGGTAACGAATTTTAAATTTATATATCTCAATTCTTCTGATGACATATATTGATAGAGATTTATCTTATATCGACAATTTCTTATATCCATATTATTCAGAAAAATGAGTATGAATATAAGATTTG